GAGGTCATGGAGCAAAAAAGATGAACCGGCTCAAACCATTTCCAAAGCCGATATTCACCAAAAAAAGGTGATGCTGTCTGTTTGGTGGGATTTTAAAGGAATCGTTTTTTTTTGAGCTTTTGGCGGATAACACAACGATTAATTCGGAAGTCTACTGTCATCAGCTGGACAAACTGAATGATGCACTTCAACAGAAAAGGTCAGAACTAATCAACAGGAAAGGTGTAGTGTTTCACCAAGACAACGCGAGACCTCACACAAGTTTGGTCACTCGCCAAAAGCTTTTACAGCTTGAATGGGATACAATGCTACACCCACCATATTCTCCAGACCTGGCATCATTGGATTATTATTTGTTGCGGTCATTCCAAAATTTTTTAGACGGTAAAACCTTCACCTCAAATGAGGAGGTCAAAAAACTCCTCGATCAGTTTTTTGCCAGCAAAGACCAAAAATTTTATGAGCGTGGAATTATGCTACTACCAGAAAGATGGCAAAAGGTGTTGGACCAGAACGGTTAATATATAATTTAATAAAGTATTTGTTTATTATACGAAAACTGTCTTTCATTTCCACAAAAAAAAAAAAACGAAATGACTTTCCGAACAACCCTATATAGTTTTGAGTGCCTTTCTAAATTTTCGTCAAGGTTAATTATTAAGAGATAACATAAAATTTCCTGCGCTAATATTTTCGATCTTTGTTGCCAAGTTCGAATCTGTTTCAGAATTGCCAGAACTAGAAAAATACATTGAAAATGATTGGGTACCTAATTTTTTCAATGGGGAACTTATCTGACCCCAAAAGAAGGATTCTTCCTTCTCCATTCGATCATTCATTTTTGATAATTGTTAACCGATAGGTGCAGTTGTAGACTGAGACAGGTCGTGACAAAGATAACGTAACATATTATACGTATTTCTTTGTCGCCTGTTCTAAAATGTATGTGAATACAATGTGTAACATTATCTTCTAGCGCGATGCGACGAAGAGGCATCGGCGTCCCGGCGGAGGTCGTTTTCAAAATGGCTTCCATGCAAATTACTTAGAAAACTTAAGACAGCAGCGAACGGCTCGGATATTGAGTTAACACTTGAGCGAGCGCGAGGCGATCACGGGCCGGTAAGCCATTCGCGACCGTACGCCAAGCGAGCGTACCGGCGCGAATCGCTTCGCATCGCGTCGCATCTCCCTCCGCCCCCACGTCGCTCACTTCATTGTTTCGCGTATATTAACCGTTAGGTTGTTGTATTACTTTATAACGATATTATATATGCGAAGCAGCGATCCGATGCGACGCTATACGACGACGACGTCGCTGTTGCGTCTCGTAAACGATGACAGAGATTGGATTGCAACATGTATGAGGTACATATGTATGCATGTCTAAGTCTTTTATAACCTAAGGCGATTGAAGTACCTACCTATTGTTAAAACTTTACGATATTAGACGTCTAGGCACTTGAGTTTCTATGATTATTATAAAATTAACCTTCCCCCGACTAGAGGGGGTGCAGGTAGGGTTCCTATGTAGGTAACCCTCTACCCCGTATGGGCCCCATGAGGTTGCCCCATAGGATACGGAAGGGGCATATAACGCCTTGCCACATTCGCGGATCATCAGGAATGCTGCATGTGCCCCCCGCAGAGAAAAATTATTGCTACCCTATTAAAAAGTTATCGAGCCCCCATAAAGTAGATTTAATTTTAAGTTTATATGTGTTAGGTTTGCCCCTTAAAAACCCATACGAAAAACCCATAAGGTAATCCTCGTTTCGGTATCACCACTTTTTTTGTGGGATTTTCATGAGAAATCTACGGGGAAATCCCTCTATGGACATTAGCCACATGAGGTCCGTACGCTAGATGGGGCATGTCCCTTATAAATTCTAGTCGGACCGTAATGCCCGACGGTGCCCGGGTAAGGATATATCATCATATTTAATAGGAGACTTCGAAAGAAATTGGAAACATTGTGCTATAGAAAGCAGTAAAACTTTCGAGAACATTCTGGAACATTCCAAAATTTTTGTTTTTAAAAAACAGTCTAGAATACTCTGTAAAATTCCAGGCTTCTCGAAACTTCCGCAATTTTCTAGAACATTCTGTCATTTTCGCACATATTTCACCCGCCGCTACTGTTAAAATATTTTTAGTCTTCTTATGAGAAATCTAGTGTGTTAAGAAGAGGTTTTCACCATCCATATGCACCCGCACGTACCAAAATTGCAATCCTTATTTCTTATTATCAATGACAAGCTAAAGACTGTCTACGACAGTAACCTTCAGTGATTGGATGTAGAACAAAGTGCAATTTAACTTACCTTAATACTATTTTAACTAGTCAAAACCGACGCCCTATATTTTCTATAGAAAGGGCACCTCATTATATGGTTAAAAATAAAATTCTAAAATAATATAATTAAAGAAAAACGATACGCTTACAATTAGTTAAAAGACATGTTTAATCTTCCCCAGAAGCAATTTGAATTCAATGTATTGTAGATGACTATATAGTGTAATAATAACACAATAAAAAAATTGCTTCTTTAATTCACTATGAATAAGAATTTTAGATATTTATTAGGAAAAAGGATTTTTGCAGAAAGTTATAAAAAAAAATTACATTATATTTAAGTACTCCAATTAAAAAGATGCTACAGATAATTTTTATTTATTGATTTTAGGAAAGACAGAAATTTCATTTTCAACTCGATATGTCGTGTTAATTTTGGTATTATTTATTTTTTATACCCATATGATTGTCGATGTTGCGCAGTGATGGGGTTACTTTCTCCGTACCATATCCTAGTGAGATTCCGTCGGCAGGGATTTAGCCTCACGGTCACTTACAACGTTCTATCTTTATTTGTATGATCGAATATTGACATTTGAGCATACCCAAAACGTCAAAAGATTGGTGATTTTTAATTAAAAATTTCGATAAAATGAGAACATCCTTGATTTAGGGATGATAGAAACATTAATACATGAGACAAATGTAACACAGTACGTACTACAAATATTTACGAGTATTTCCATTTTGATGTAGGTCTAAATGTACATAAATTATTTATTGTAATTGTTGAATGACAATTTCGTTTGTAATTGTTTTCTCACGGGGTGAGTTCTTTTCGTTCTGACGAAACTAGTTTGTCTATCACCCTACTGACCAGTGTCCACTACAATATTCATGCACCTAATACCTACACATTTCTCGAAGGGTTCAACAGGAATGTCGAGATTTTTGAATACAAAAGGTGGACAGACAGTAAACTCGAGAAACACCGGACACTTTTGACTGGCAATTTCGCGTAATGGATATACAAAAGTTGTATTTCACACGCTGAAAACTATTCCGCGGCGAAACACCTGAATAAAAATCAGGTTCCTGATGAGACCCTTTGTAGCGTCGGTCGTCTTCACACGTAAATAGGTCAGATTGACCACTGTCCGGTCTAGATAAGGTATTGTATACGAAACGGGATTGTTATTGTTACATTTGTTGTAGTGAAAGGCTCGAGCAAGTGAATATCCTCAGTAATTTTTAAAACCATTTTTCTACCTACCTATAATAAATGGTTTATTTTACTCATTGTCGTCTTGATAATATAAATTTAAGCCCTAAGCTAAATTTTTTACTTCTTGGTCTCGATATGCGTCAATATATTAGTATACTTAGTAAGCTTTTATTCAACCATTGGTTATTTTGCCACAAAACTTCACGTATATGTATATTATACAGACTGTTTACAAGAATAAGAAAGTGGATATACTTCTATCTTATAGTACTCCTACAAAATAGATTATTGAGTAACAACAGAACAATATTCTAAATTTAAATTAATAAACTAATTAAAACACTTTCTTTTCTTGATAAATTCTATTATAAAGTTCGTTACACATGCCTTACTTTCCCATTTTGTATCCTGTTAATTTACCTACCCCCTACTTTTTTGAAATTTCTTTCAACGTTTCTGTCCCATTTCGACTACAACCCGCCATCCATCCATCCATATTCATCCATTTCTTTGTTCTCAATACATCTCCCCAAAACTGAGTTTCATCCACCCTTTCACAAATCCTACTATTTTTAGATATTTCGGTAGTAAGTCTCCATGTCTCACGAGTCCATCTCATTTCCACTGCCACCCACCATTCACACATTCATCCATTTCTTTGTTCTTAATACATCCCTCCAAAACAAAGTTTCATTCACCCTTTCACAAATCCTACAACTTTTAGATATTTCGGTATCAAATCTCCATGCCACATTAATCAATCCCATTACCACTGCCATCCACCATCCATCCAGATTCATTCATTCCTTTGATTCACCCTTTCACAACTTTCAGAGATTTCGGTTTCAAATCTCCATGCCACGCGAGTCTATCCCATTACCATTGTCACCCACCAATCATCCATCTAGGAATGAATTAATTCCTTTGTTCTCAATACATTCTCCAAGTAGAGAGTTTCGTCCACTCTTTCGCAAATTCTATACAACATCCAGATACTTTAGTCCTTCTGCATATCCTGATCCTTCTATTTTACTTTTAACTCATTGCATTTTATCCTGATCGTTTCCCCTACATTCCTAGGCATTCCTCTCAATATATTTAATTGCTCTTGTTCTATTTTTATCTTTCTTAATTTCTCTATCCGTGTTGTATCTACTTTTCCTATCTATCTTCCTTAAATCCTTAAGTATCTTTTGATTAAACCAAAATACGATTTTGATGAATCTGGGCTATGATATTTCAATTTCCATACTCTCAGTTAGGTATTTATTTAGATGTCAAGAAGAATATCAATCGTAAACTAATTCATCTAGCAAAAAAACAGTTGCATGATCAATTCATCAACGTTTCCTCCGCCGATGTTTGGGATTTCCTAAAGACAATTACTGATTTATTAATAAAATTGCTTTTTATTTACCTAACGTAATAGTTCAAAATTGCCTTTTATTCTTCTAAAAATATTTATTTCCTTGTTTACAGATACCAAGCGATTTACCCATTTGTAATGAAGCAGTTGGTACGTGTTCATAGTAAATAGCCGAAGATGGTGGAATTATCGTCAACATAATATGGTAAGTTTGTTTTATTAATAGTATGAACTGAAGGGTTGTAAAACCATGTAACTGTTATTCGATGAACTTCAAATGGGAATATTTATTTATTATTGGTTATTGATTATTAAACTGTGGTATTTATTATTAGGTGCAGATATTAATATAGTCTATCACTTAATTGATCCTTGTATATCTGAATATTTTGTACAAATTTTCCCTTCTTTAAAACAAGATCGCCTGTGAAAATTCAAATGTTCACATTCCCTTGAAACAAGTTATCATATGGGTATCTATGCAAAGTATACAAGTACCTAATAAAAGCAGGTCTTCTAAAAAGATACCAGTTTTACTGTTAAAAAGGGACTGAGAAATCTATGCATATACAAAACCTGATTTTTAAAGGTCGGAATTGTACTACCAATATTAGTCTCAATCTTTATATTATTTCATGTACCTTCATTCCGCTTGTGCATTTTCCCAGTTCAAGTAATAATGAACAACAAGCTCTACCTTTTTAAATTTTCCAAATGAGAAGTACATATCTTTAAGTAGTGGATGAATATTAAGTTTTTTACGTTAGTGAAGGTGATGCTGTTGAAAATTTTGCAAATTATAATTGAAATACGTATTTATCGTGTAGTGCACAGAAAATATCTCAGATTTGAAACATAGTTATTTGACAAAGAAATTTTAAGTACAATATTATTTTTTTCAACAAAATGTGTAGTTAACGCTCAAATGAAGATAATGATTAAAAGTTGCGTGGCTACGAGTGAATCTAAGTTAGTAATGAATAAAATTGGTGTTGGTGTTACAGTTTTGGTATTGGTATTGCTAAAATGCAACGAAAGGCAAGGGTAAGTCCTCGAGTTTTAATAACCCTCATAACTATCGACAGTATTTTTTTTAAAAGTCTTGACAAGCTGGCATGTAGAACAGAAAATTTTAGCATTTGAGACAATTACTGTGTCACTAAATAGAACGATTTATGCTTAAAAGAATTATTATTAAGAAAAGTATCAAATTACATAAATGAGCAAGACCTAGATCGAGACTCTGCTAACAAGACTAAGACTAAAAGTATTTCAGCAAGACCAAATAAGTAAAACGAAAACCAGTACCAAGACCGAAACAGTTTTCGTTTTGATCTTGCTTGGGCGCACCAAGACTCGTCCGATGAAAGCTCTGCTTCATGTGCTGGTCCACGTTAAATATTAACCTGATACTTATAAAACTTAAATCCCACTTTCACTTCCCATACCTAACCCAAAACGTTTTGTTTAATTCGAAATTGTGCAGAATTTTTAGTTAATGATGCAAAAACGTCTATTACTTTGTCTAAATCTTCAAATCGCGAGCTTTTGCGATTTATCTTTCGATGGACATAACCGAGGACCATTAAAAACTGCATACGCACCAGGGGAAGAAATAGTAGGTTTGAGTTATTATGTGAAATTAAGCGTAGGTGTATGTATACTTGTGTTTTACATTATAATTTTTAAGTTATATTGAAAACAGTAATACTTAACGAGATATGTAGATATAGATGTTGGAAAATTCGGCTTTCAGTTAGTTCGTAATTTTTTAAGCTGGTCCTGGTTACACAGAGTGGCTAATAGGTCCCTGAATTCTATTGTTAATACCACACTAGAATTTATAAATGCATACCCCCATGTAGTGTGCGGACCTCATGTGGCTAATGGGCATGCCGATATAGGGATTTTCCCGTAAACTCCTCATCAAAATTCCACCAAAAAAGTAGTGATACTAAATTGAGGATTGCTTTATGGGTTTTTCATATGAAGTGGCTATCCACTTAGGGACCCTATCTGCACCCCCTCAAAATTCTAGTCGGCTAGAAGCTGTATGATTTCTAAACTCTAGAGCATCTATTAGAACATGTAGGTACGCTGGATTTGATCTCAGCGTAGAAAAATCATTTGGAAACAAGTTGTATGTATTTTTGAAAAATATACAAAACAATTGCAGTAGGTATATCATAACTTGTTACTTGATGCAATAAAAGTGGTTTTCTGATACCTCCTTGCCCATTTGCAAAGTTTTCTCTTTAGGAATGCGGGGTCGACTTAGTTGCCTCATTCCGTCCATCTATGTACAATACATCGTCCATTAATTCTTGAAGTCTTCGCAGCCTCTGTTCTCGTATATATATATTCTTGTTCTATTTTTATCTTTCTTAATTTCTCTATCCGTGTTGTATCTACTTTTCCTATCTATCTTCCTTAAATCCTTAAGTATCTTTTGATTAAACCAANCCTATATATATATATGTATATGTATGTATATGTATGTATATGTATGTATGTATGTGTCGTAAAGTGTACAAGTATGTGTTAGTTTGGACTGATGATGGGCGGGCGAAATTTGCTCCTGTACGTCTCGCCCGTTCGCCTTCTCGCTCGCAGCGAACCAAGTTTTTCTTTCCGGCAAGTTCGTGCAACAACCCATTAGACTCTGGAACTTTATAATTAAATTAGTTTCGGACTTCCGCGAACGAGGCGGAAAAGCTGAGCAACGTCGGGGGTTGAAGCGGCGCGGCGCGGACAAGCGATGCGATGCGATACGATGCGGTGCCCCTAATGGCTATCTACTAACTATTAACTGTGTCCGAATCGAAAACTCAATAAAGAAAATTTTGGGTAGTTAACTTTCGAAAAAAAAAAATGCACATTTCTTATACACGAAAAGTGAAATATGAACAGAATTTTGATATTGATCAATATAAGGAAATCCCATAGATATATAATTGCACTCAACATTAACGTTAACTTTTGCCACTTGGATTGTTTTCATTTTGAAGATGGATGGTTTACATATTAAAATGATAACATGTCCAAAAATTATAAAATTCTCCATTTGTGTAAGAAAACATGTGCGTAAATATAAATTATAACATAATTTAAATAGTGTGAACGTAGGGGTAGATAATATAAAATGGTAAATTCACTTTTAGGAGTAGGAACATTTAGTAAAGTTAAAAGAAGTTTTTATACAACGTGTAAAAAAAATAAGTGCCTAGCTTTCAGGAGATGGTAGAGAAACATGAAAATTAACTAAATGTTTGTATGTCAAAAGTTCACTGTTTTCGAGACAAACGTAGTTGAAAGTACAACTAAATTCAGTTTCGATCCACAACGCTGTACACTCATTCTTTATTAGTTAGAATAGATCAAGTGTGATTCACTTTAGTTCTATATTGTCTGTGTTTATCTTAGACGTTCGGTAAACGGTAATGTTTACATTTTCAATCCTCTTATTTATATTACACCCTGCATGTATATTGTCTGCATTATTTATTACGAAGGTTCAAAAGTTTTGTTATTAACCATTAAATGTAGATTGCTGTCGTTATTAAGTACATTACACATTCTTCTGGTACTTATAATCAGAACTAGACAAACACCTCATCAAAAAGGCTCTTAAGCTTCCAGCCCAGTGTTTTTTGTACTTAAAATTATTTAACTGTTGATGCTCCACAATTACATTTCAAAATCAAAGAAATACCATAGAAATCGTTTGAAAGTGCTTTCGTAAAGTATTTGTTTACAAAGCCTCAACTGCAGTTTGGAAGCACATTTTTATTTCATAAAACTTTGCTCAATCCTTTCTTAAAGTGCAGATTCTTTGAGTTAATTTTATTTTACTTTTATTTGCTATAGGTTTTTGATAAATGTATTATAAGTAATACTTACTCTAAAGTAAAGATTTTTATCGTAAAATTTCATTCGTAAAAATTAACTTTATTACATTTATATAATATTACTCTACGTTTGAATTTTTAACCGTTAAAGTCTCGGTGACAGTCCCATTGCCAATTACAGAATAATTCTGTGAAGTTCAGCGATAAAGTAAAATAAACTCTACTTTAAGTGTAGTACTTAGATCTCATTACTACATAGTATAAAACAAAGTCGCTTTCCCACTGTCTGTCCGTATGTATGCTTAAATCTTTAAAACTACGCAACGGATTTTGATGCGGTTTTTTTCTAAAAGATAGTGATTCAAGAGGAAGGTTTATATGTATAATACATGCATAATATAGTAGGGAAACACTGATAATTTTAGAGGTTTCTAATGTGATGTCGTAAATAAACACATTCTTTGCGCTTACATTGCAAACACTAGCTGAACCCTACGAGATAGATCAAAATAATGTACTACAAAAAAGTCCACGATGGTATATGTTTATCTCTTAGGGATAACCCACAATAACCATTTTTATCCTTTACTTTTTATGAGAAATAATGACTTATTTACGAAGCGATTGTAGGCAATACAGCATTAATTCTTATCCAATTAAGTACTTTTAAATACATTGTGCATTTAATATAGATCAATATGGCCCTTTACAGCATCTAATTTAAATGAATATTTTCGAAGATATTACAGATTTAAAATGCAGGAACATAGCGGTTGCGGCGGTACCGGCCGGGAGGTCGGTTTGCATTGTCTAATGACAAAAAAAAACTGTGAATGTTGTATATAAAGACATTCTGTAGTATATTTAGTATGTTCAGAGGGTATCTTTTGAAGATTTCCCCTTTTCGATAATAATCTAAACAAAACAAAAATATATTTAGTATCAGCATTGCACCCGTGCGAAGCTGGGGCGGGTCACTAGTATATTATAAACAAAGCACAAGGGTTAAACGTGAACGTAAAGAGCAAATCTGGGATGTTGTGTAAAACGACGGCGACTAGCAGTTTCATGCTGGCATCGTCGGTTTATTGGAAAAGTCGTGAGACCGCAAGACGAGCCAACTAGCGAAGGAACAGCAACATTGTTTCCAAAATCGGTTTTCGTTTTGGCCGGTGCTTGGTCCCATAACGGCGGCACAATCTCCTCTATAACTCGGGCCTCCCGCACCCTCTTCGATCTCGCTCACCCTGTGTAGATAATGGCGAACCTCTGCGATTAATTTAATCAAAATGTGCGCCCGTTAGAAATTTAATCTCCTCGAAATATTCGTGAAAGATACACCTTGTGCTAGCTATAG